TTGGAATTGTAACTTTAGCAAACTACAGCATTTATCCAGATTCATATTTATATTAGTAATGCCTAAAAACTGAGAAGTGCATCATTGTTTAAAAGATTTCTCATGTTTTTTTTTGCAAAAATGAGAGACCAAGTCCCAATTACTTGCATGTCACACTGACTATTCCTGTAATTGCAACTTGGATGTTTGATTCTACATGTTGTTGTGTTGTAGAACTTGGCCATGTTTCTCAGCATGCTGGTGGCATGGTTGATCCCAGACGTGCCTCGTTCTCTGAAGGAGCAATTGAAGAGAGAGAAAACACTTCTGATGGATCTTCTGCTCACCGAGGAGGCGGACAAGCAGTGTTCACAATCACACTCGCTGACAGCTACCAACACTGATGTAGTAATCAAGGGTTTAGAGGAAGGACCACCAGAGGAGCTGCCTGTCTGCAGTAGGATGATGCTAAGCCAGTCAGACGAAGAGCTGAAAGAACTTCGGTTGACCAAGGAAGAAGAGGAGGAGGAACTTGAGGAACAATCCCCAGATGAACCAATTGCATCCACCAGTGAACTGCCGGATGAAAGGCAAAGTTCCACATGTGAAAGTCTCAATTCTACTTCAGAATCCGTGTCTAAGATAGCCTGTCAAGATGAATCGCCCGCCACACCTTCAGCATCTTCATACCATTCAGTCAAATCCGGCTCACTATCACGGTACAGAGCAATTGATACAAATGGACCTCCACCTCGAGAACCGAATATTAAGGCTAAGAGCCGTTGCCGAACCCTTCCACCAAGGCACAGAGAACCTGAACCTGAAGACGGTGCAACTAAAACCAGCCACTCCACTACATTCACACACCTCGAGCAGAAAGTTCCTCCATCTCTCAGCGAGCTCACCCGGACCTTGCCTAAAGCACCATCAACAACCAAGCCTTCTGGAAGCAAAACATCTGTGGATTCAGAGCTCACGAGCAGCAATTCCATAGCATTTCCTCGGCCACCGTCCAGACCGGAGCTTGCAAGTGGCCTTTTGACAGCCTTGCCACGTCCTCCTTCGAAACCAGAGCTAGTAGGCAGCCAATCAATAGGTCTAGCACGTCCTCCTTCAAAACCAGAGCTTGTAGGCAGCCAATCAACAAGTCTACCACGCCCTCCTTCAAAACCAGAGGTCGTAGACAGCCAATCAACAGGACTACCACGTCCTCCTTCGAAACCTGAGCTCATAGGCAGCCAATCAACAGGACTTACACGTCCTCCTTCGAAACCTGAGCTCATAGGCAGCCAATCAACAGGACTTACACGTCCTCCTTCGAAACCTGAGCTCATAGGCAGCCAATCAACAGGACTACCACGTCCTCCTTCGAAACCAGAGCTGATAGGAAGCACGACCAAAGGGCTTCCACCTCACGATACAGGCTCGAAAGTTAAGAGCCGATGTCAGACTCTTCCTCCAAAGTATAGAGGCTCAGAAACTTCAGAAGAGACGACAGCCAGACCTAGCCATTCCACTACCTTTACACACCTCAGTCAACAGATCCCCCCTTCACTCAGTGATCTCAAACGTAACTCTCCTGTATGAGTGTGACTCAAAATCTCCACCTCTTCAGCACCTTGCATCCAATCACCACTCTCAGTGCCAGGCAGTCCATGCCATCAACAACTCATCTCTGACTCGTCACTTTCTCATCGATGACTGAACAAGCGTAATTGGTAACTGTGGATGTAGATCAATCATCGATGGCTTGGGGGAGGATCACTAATAAGATGTGCTGCTCCAGTTGGTTGTCTAGGGGGATTTCTTTTTCACAGAATCATTGAGCCAAATCTGGCTTATGCATTCTGGGTATTCCTCTGGAGCCATTCGATGTGGCTTGATGACTCTTAAAACATTGTCTTATACTGTGACTTGCCATTCTCTTTTTCACTTATAAACCTGTACAGGCATAAACAGATTTAAACAAACACCAAATTTCATTAGCCTGACCTCTTGAACCGGAACAGGTGAGAACAGAGAGAGGCTTAGGAATATGGGCCAAAGGGCTTTGCAGTCCAATACGAATTGTTACTCAGCAAGTGGAACTTTCATTTCGTGGTGTTGTTGTCCTCATGAGTTTTGCTAACGTGTACTTAAACTGAAAGATAACTAAATGTGAACTTACAATATTCCAGCTTCAAATGAGCCAACTTGTTTGTGGAATTGTCTTTTGTCTTTGGTCTGTAACATCTGTAGTGTCTCATCCACATGGCAAGTTTGATGTTTAGCAATCTCATAGCAAAGAAATGTGATGTTGAAATGGACTTGCAAAGCCAATTACACTGTACATTGCAAATACACTGTAGTATTTTATATAAATCTCATTTAGCACTATGCTAGCACAGTTAAAGCTAAAGTAAAGCATGCTATATTCACTGTGAAGAGGTTTTCAGGGATTAAGACCCATTTATCATGTTTATTCCCGACCCGTTCACCACCAACGGGGGGAAATTGTATGAACGCACACAGGCCATGTTCACACTGCCACATTTTTAAAGCGACAATTTCAATCATTTGTAGGAATGAGTTGCTAAATTATCATTCCTAGCTAAATTATATTTCCATTGGTGTATTTATTACAGGTGTCAATCCTGCTACCCCAAAATAAGCAATAGTTGACGTCTTGCAGCTGTAAACATGAACCATGTATGCCAGCAGTATATGGTGTTTTTGATTTTCCGCAAACTAATACTAGTGTCCTGGGATCTATTCTGTCAAGCATCTGTCAATTTTCAATACGTCATTAGCTGTCACTACCAAACTCAGTGTGTACAGAACAGGATTAAAGGATTAGTTCACCTAAAATGAAAATTATGTCATCATTTACTCACCCTGATGTGGTATTATTTTTACCCCCCAACATAAAATGAGGCTTCTCTTGCCGACATTATAAAAGTGAATGTTTATTTGTACTTTACAAACTCATGAAAGTAGGCCATATGACACATATGCGCTATTCTTTAAAGCCATATTTCAGCTCGTGTGACTAACAAACAGGAATATTGGGGCATTAAAAACTATTTAAAAGAAAATATGAACACAACAGGATTGACGGCTGTATTTAGCTGCAGTGTGGCCGTGGCCAATGTGTGTTGTTCAGCTCGGTGTTGAGTGGCAGGTGTGTATGATATGCATTGTGGATCTGTTAGCGAAGAACAGTTACAAACCAGCATTAATGTCCATGTTATTTCTAGAGGTCTTGAGGAATATTAAACAATATTTTGATATTATAATGGGGGGAAACATGATTACTGTTCTTAATAAAAAAAAATGGAAAATACATGTTTTTTTGGTATGTTCACTGCTTTCAAATATCAGACATTGCGAAACAAATGCATTTTCAGGCATTATCTGGGCCTAACTAAATCAGTGTTTCCCAACTCTGTACCTGAAGGCACACCAACAGTACATAATTTGCATGTCTTCCTTATCTGACCCAATAATTTCTTATGTTCTGATGAGTTGATTCAGGTGTTTAATTAGGGAGAGGTTGAAAATATGTAATGTTGGTGTGCCTTCAGGAACAGGGTTGGGAAATACTGAACTAGATCAGGCTTACAAGCAAAATCAAGTGTTGTGTGCTGACTTTTTAAATTCTGTATTGTCGGCCACCACTAGATGGAGACAGAAAACTTATACTGGAAGTAAATAAGAGCTTGGACAACCGTGAAACAAAGGACTGGGAGCAGAATCACGTGATTTTTCTAAAGGAACCAGTGATAAGCGATTACGCATTTCCTTTTAAGATTTTTCCCAGGGTTGTGGTCATGCATGTGGTACAGTATAACAGTGCAAATGAGATATGACAATGAGTAAACACTTCTTTCACACTGTATTGCCACATACAGGACATCCCCGCTATAAGAATATCAAGGAAACAGCTCAAGGAAAGTAACAAAGAGTATTATAAGGAAATGTAAATAATTCCAAAACATTTGGAACAAACTGCAACAATAACAGTGTAATATAACTTTAGATGTAGTTCCTGATGTACTATAATAAATATGTTGTATCATTTTTGTTACGCTGAATAAGGATAGAGCATTATCTTGAATTTCTGACAGAAGTTTATAAGCAGTTTCTCGAAACTGTCAATTTATTTCACAGAAGTTATCTAGAACGTCAAACTAAGCACTTCTTTAGAAAATCTTTTTCAATGCACTTTTGAGACTGCATAGAACCTATGTCATTCTACCATACAATTAACAGAAATCGCCCAGGTTTTACAATTATAAACGATTTTCTTTACCTTTCCTTCAATTAGCATTTCTATTGTGTTGCCCCACAGTACTGCAACCCAGTAAAAAAACATGAATATCATTTTCAACCGGTTCCAAACTATTGTCCAGCAAGAACCCTGTGGCATTTTGACAGGCTTAAGCTGATGCTTTTTTAATTCTATAAAACTGTTCATCTAATTTAGTGTAGGGATGCACAATATTGGACAAAATTTAAATTGCAGTTTTTTTTCTGCAAAATATATCACAAAGTGATTTCATAATCTTGCAAATGACAGGGGTCGCCCTTGGCTTGGACATACGGAAATCTGTACTTATATGGAAGAATCACATTCCTGAAATAGGTACCTAATACCTATATGTCATGCCATTTCCATGTATCAGAGTTCTATGTGGGACAATATGACCCTAGTTACACACCAAGGTCACAGGTTCAATTCACAGGTCATGTACACACAAGTATAAAATGATCAAGTATAGCATAGACAGCACTGCACCTGTCACTGTGAATTTACATCCATATGCCATGAGTGTAAATGTAAAAAAGAACTAAACACTCACTCTAAGTAAATGTCACAACAAATCAACCTATTTCTCTCATTCATCCTGTGAGTTATTAACCTTTTTATGGCAGTATTTCAAGGTTCACCTCCTCTGTGTCTAAACCTTTCTGTGACTCTACCTGCGGTGAATGTGGCCCCTCCCACATATCCAATTCACTGCCCCCCTTCAAGACACACACACTCAAGCGGTTCAATGAGCTCTTTGTGGAGGGTTAAGGTATGCAGTGTAAGTGTGTGTGAGAGAGTTTACTTGTTCTGTTAGTACCTAGCGGATTTACCTAGCAGACTGGGCACAGCTTGGTTAAAGGTGCGTGTGAGCGGAATTACAACAGATGAAAAAAAGGAGAAAGGTGTGTAAACACAAGAAACGGACAAACTTTAAGCGGATAGAAGGTATGGATGCTTTTGTTTCTGTTTGACGTGTGTTTCTTTGCAAGTCTTATGTGTGTGTTTGTCATGGTAACAATCAACAGTCACTACTTATTATAAGAATAGAGACAGTAACTTGAGAAGCTTTCGCTCCAACAAAACACTGCTTAAATCAGAGTCTTAAACTTTTATCTTAAGTGTAATGCAAAACCTTTTAGGGCTGTGTAGAGTTGTCTGCTCTCAAGACTTTACCTCTGGAACTAAAAAAGTGAGTCTGAATACATTGAAGTATAACTCTAGATCTGTATTTAAACTTTCAGCACTGAAATTCAACCACACTGAACTGAACTAAACTTCAACTCCGACTGGACTGACAGTTTCAGTCTACTAGAACTTCTATGTTATGCTGCTTTGACTATCTACATTGTAAAAGCGCTCTAAAAGTAAATATGACTTGAATTAAATTGAATATTGTAGTAGTATACTGCCAGTGGGACTCAATGTTCTCATATCTCCCATTCAAACTTATTTTAAACTCTTTTTCACACAGACATGCTCACTCTTTCAGCATGTTATTGTAGATTTTAGTATAACTGCATGCGAATTGCTTTTTATAAATAATGTCCTGTGAGTGTTTGTGGCAATATTGAACATGTTACATTTTCTTCATTAGAAATGGCTTCTGGGATCACAAAGACTGAACTCCTTTTCCTAAAAAGATATGGAGTTGAATAAGAAAATGCTTAAATGCTGAGAATGTTCCAGTAAAGCTGGCCGGTGTTTGTGTTGTTCATTTCTGCCTATTGTGCTCATGTAGGTATCCTATTACAGGAGCGACTGCACACTACAATAGCACAGAAAAATCGACCAAAATATTCTATTCACTTCAACTCAAATGGACATTTTCTTTCTATTCATCCATCTAACCATTGAATAGGAAAAATTCTATTGGTCATAAAAATGTTAGCCAGCCATTAATTTGTATGCAATATAATAAGCATAACATTGAGGAAGCGCGTTTATATGCAATTGTTATTACTTGTATTTATATTTAAAAATACTGTTCTCAATTTTTGGCAGCACAATGGCTTAGTGGTTAGCACTGTCACCTTACAGCAAGAAGGTCGCTGGTTCAAGTCCCAACTGGGCTAGTTGGCATCTCTGTGTGGAGTTTGCATGTTCTCCCCGTGTTTGTGTGGGTTTCCTCCGGGTGCTCCGGTTTCTAGGTGGATAAAAACATGTGCTAAATGAATCATGTAAAGTTGGCTGTTGTGTTATTTGCAGGGCGATGCTCAGTGAGTGGTTTTGGTGGGACCGGCTGTGGTTGCCGAGGCCGGTGACGTGGGCGGATCTACAGGACAGTGAGGGGTGTGTCTACGCACGTGCCTCCCACTTGTACATCATTCTACCTGTTGCAGTGCTGCTGCTCGGCTTAAGAGCATTATATGAAAGGTACACACTCCCGCACACACACAATCTAAATGACACTGACAAGACCAGCTTACATTAGCATTAAAGTACATGCTGGATTTGCTGATTAGTGCAGGTTTAGTGCTGGTGGACTGATGTTACTCATCAGCAAAATGAAGCTGGAAAAGCCAGTTGGCCAAGGAAGTTTATATTTGTTCTTTCTCCATTAAATAGGCTGATAGCAGTGCCACTCGCTCAGGCTCTTGGAGTTAAAGACAAAATTCGCAAGAGAGCATCACACAACCCACTACTGGAAACATACTACAGAACACACTCTAAACACCCAACACAGGTAACTACTGTCACCCATTTAAAGGGATAGTTCACCCAAAAATGAAAATACTGTCATCATGTACTCTCCCTCAAGTGGTTTTAAGCCTTTATATGTTTCTTTAGCAGGGCTGGAAATTAGGACCGCTTTGGTCACATATGCACATATGAATTTTATCAATGTGACCTCAAAATACATTTGGGAGTATCTGTGCGAGTGCAAAAATTGTTGCCTGTGACCGGTTTTAACTGCAAAAGGTTCACCGCGTGTGCATATTTAGGAGACATTCACGCAGAATGCATCTTTGCACATACAGTAATAGCAAGAAACGGTGCACTCAGGAATAGTTTTAAACAGTCGCTATGTAAAATTCCTACAGTAAACAAATCCCGCAAACCCTTCAAGCTCTTCTGATTGGCACACTGCTCTAGAACTGAACGCGAATGGATTGGTTAATTTCAGCTGTCAATCATTCAATCAATGCCTTCTGGCTTCAGGTGATGGGGAGCTACAGTCACGAAAATGCTAAGCACTGAAGTTGAGAGAAAGCACACTGACAGATTTTGTTTTAGAAACCACCTAAAGATACAAATAATGGCACATCTGATAAGTGATACATTATTCGAAGACTCACTGTAAAGTCTCTCTGATGGAGTGTTCAGGTAACAGTGTTTGCCACTGAATCTACACATTTTAAGAGAATCTATGAGATGTTCGATTTAATCCTTCATTTGATCATCAGGATGATTTCAGATGCAATAAGTCTGTTAATATAAAACTTGTGGTAATGGTCAAATAATTATTGGTGGGTGCGACAAAATTTTGGCTGGTACGACCACATTTTCACATTAGGAGCACCAGTGCTACCAAGCAAAAAGATTCATTTCGAGCCCTTTTTACTCTGTTGAACAAAGAAGAAATTTTGAAAAATGATGGTTGCTGGCACCCATTGACTTCTTTAGTAGGAAAAAAATACTATGGAAGTCAATGGGTGCCAGCTACCAGCATTTTTCAAAATTTCTTCTTTAGTGTTAAACTGAGGAAACTCAGGTTTGAGGATTAGTAAATGATGGCAGAGTTTTCATTTTTGGATGAACTATTTCTTTAATTTATTAAATCTTGGGCATGTCTGGTAGGGCTGGGTAGATAAACAATATTTTATCAAATCACGGTAAAGTTTATGATAAGCTCTGGATTTTATTTTAACCTATATTGATCTAAGAGCCACACAGCAGAGCCACACAGCAGAAATGTGCAACAATGGGAATCTAAAACTGTGTCGATATTAGAGAATTTTCAGCTACCGAACAATTATTGGCCTAAAATGTTAGGTCATTTAACGGACCCTCTAGTTTTTGTGGCTTCAGTCATTGTTGGGGAATTTTTTAAAATCTGGAAGCATTAAAGAGCCCATATTATACATGAAATAGGGTCATATCTTGGTTGTAAGGGTCTCCAACAACAGTTTAATATGCATGCAAGGTCAAAAAAACACTTTCATGGTCTTATAATCTGCATTTAATTTTACCTAATTATCCCAGCGACTCCCGTATGAATCGTCCAGTGATTCATTTGTTCCCAAACCCCTCCTTAGCGCGAAGCTAATCTGCGCTGATTGGACCAATGACAGTCTGTTGCGATTGGTCGACTGCCTTCAGTCAGAAAGTGAAAAGCCAAACAGCTAATCAGCAATATAAAAGTAATCACAGTTCACACACGCTCGATAGTGTAGGCGTGGATTTTAGCTGCCAGTGGGTCAATGTAAATACAGACTATGGACTTGAAAATTCAGACGACTAACTATTTTATTGAGCAAAAACTCCAAAAACAGTTGAGGAGATCTCCTAGCTTCTCACTCTGCTCTTTTCACAGACACACACACACATATTGCACACACACACGCACTTAACCCTGCTCCGGACGACAACGCGCGCACGCACACACACACACACACACACACACACACACACACACACACACACACACACACACACACACACACACACACACCTCCGGACGACAGCGCGCACACACGCACACACTTCTCCTCATCCACGGAGCTCCGTTAACAAAGCAGCACGCGTCGCGTTTTTAACGTGACTTTGCACGCGATAAGAGAATATAGCCAGTTAACCTGATACAGTACACGCGGTTACAAGTAACAAATCACAACTAAATACATTTGCAAGCTAGAGTAAACGAGGCAACTTTAATCGCACGTACTTACACTTGAGAAATGGAGGAAGAAAAATCCATCCTGACGTCCAGCATTAAGTTACTCTTTACTGATCCTTCCTTTAACAAACGCTGATGAAGTATTCTTTGTAGCATGTAGTTTCCAGAAGTTTCCAGTAGTTTCCAACTGCTTGGCTATAATGCTGAGGTTTCATCTTTGGGTAGAGACTCAATATATCCATCTGCAGTGTGACTTCAATCGACCGGCATGTTTGTGTGTGTGTGTGCGTGTGTTTGTGGGTGTGTGTGTGTGTCTGGGTTTCTGCGTCAGAGGGCGGGGCCTCAGGTTTGAAATCTCCCGGGTTTGCGCGTGCACGTGAATAACTTGGTTTCGTTCGTACGTCATGGCGAAACACCTAATGAATCAGTATCAAGGCGACTCGTTTGAAGCACTATGAGTCGACTCTTATATAGATGAATCAACAGTTTTAAACACTGTATTCTTACAGATTTAAGCCTTAGCTGGATACTTTACTTCACTTAGAGCTGTGTTACACACTACATGGAGGGGAATTTTCAAAAACCCATAATATGGGCTCTTTAACAACTTATATCGGAATATATATCATTATGGATTTTGGAAATGTGTGCATCAATGTGGAAAATAATTATCGTGGTTGCATTTCTGCCATATAGCCCAGCCCTGATGTCTGGTACTGTATATATTACACTCCAAAATCAGAAATAATTCAATTAATTTTGGGTAGAAAATATAATCCTTTACATGTAGAATTCAGAAATCCTTGTTATTAGCAATATCAGTGGCCATTAAGTGAATTCCAGCAAGTAACGTTTTTTCTGGGCTTGCACTTTAAAGGGATAGTTCACCAAAAATGTCAATTCTCACCATTTGCTCACACCGAAGTGGTTCTAAAGTTTAATGAATTTCTGAAGATTGCTGAAAAATGCATCGACAGTAGAAAGAAAAATACTACGGATGTCAATAGCTGCTTTTTTTCCCCAACATTCTTCAGCATATCTTCTTTTGTGTCCAACAGAAACTCAAACAGGTTTGGAACAAATGAAGGGTGAGTAAATGATGGCAGAATTTTCACTTCTGGTGCACTATTACTTTAACACGTACAGTATGAAGTCAGGAGTAAATGAGATTTAATGCCCCGATATACTCATGGTTTTCTGTTCTTTGATTAGCATTTAAAAATACAAATTAGCTTGGAATAGAAACCAAGCTTATGTGAAACTATAGTCTAAATTAATCCTTTATCTCTGTATGACACATAGACATTAAATAATATATCATTCATTCATTTATGCTCTTTCAGCCGCAACCCATCTCTGAGGGTGCTTTCACACCTGCCTTATTTAGTTTGATTGAATCGCACTAGAATTCGTTTCCCCTTTTGGTACGGTTCGTTTGGGCAGGTGAGAATACAGCAATCATACTCGAGTGCGCACCAAAAGCAGACCAAATAAGCGTACCGAGACCTGCTTGAAGAGGTGGTCTCGGTACACTTTCAAACGAACCCTGGAGCAGTTTGTGTTTGTGGTGAGAATATGATACGTACTAAAACAGGTCCAACCGCAAAAAGTACTGCGCGTTTTGGACTAATTCATCTGCCGTAGGCCGATGCGCTGTGCATTATAGGATATGGAGGAAAAATATTTATTGACAGCACTTTACCACAAAGAGCGGAAAACATTACCTGATGGATTGTTGGTAATATTTCCGCAAGATGACCATGTTGCAGCTTAGCTAAATGAATACACGCCTTCTCCTGAAGTGACGAGCGATGCATTAAAACACTGTTTTCCAGCCGCGGCCGTGCTTCATTTTCGTAATGTATAGTTTGTCTAAAGCAGGGATACAATCAGCCAGCGCAGTCGTCCCTCCAGAGTAAAAGGTTTTGTTTACCTGCGGGAGTTCACTGGCATTTTCCCACACGTGAATTCTGACCAATCAATAAGCAGTTTAGGGAATATGTTTAACAACATCTGGCCAATGAGAGATGGGGATTTTGTCAGGTGACAGCATTTTGGTTCGTTCGGACCAAAGCCAGCAGTGTGGTGTGAAATAGTGGTGGGCAAAGCGAGGCTTCATGAAACACTGAAACAGTCAAAGCAAATGTGTCGAAGCTTCGAAACGTTTCGAAACCCCACTCTACAGTGACATCTAGTGGTCAGTTTTTATGTATTGCACTGAAACAGTTGCAGCACTTAACAGTTTAGCAAATTGAGGTTTTAAAGCCCACTTTGTAACACTGGTCTTCAATTAATGTAGCGGAGCGGTTAAGGTGTCTGACTGCCGTCCGGGTATTGTAGGTTCGAATCCAGGCTAATACAGCCATTTTGAAATGCTTTAATACCAGTTGGTAATGCTTGCTCTTGAATCGTTTTGTTTCAACATTGGTCTGATATCCGAATAAACAATTTGTGAATAAATATGTCTTGTTTTGGTCTTAAAACAGGGTTGTTGCTAGATCAGAAACTGTGGCCTGAAGTTATCAAGAATTATTTATATTATTTATATTTTCCCATTTATTGTATTTTATTAACGTCTACCCAAACCCTAAACCAAACCATCACAGTACTGTAAAAATATAAATTATTGTTTTACAGTGTTACAAAAATGATGCTAAATTGATGGCGTAACTGCAGCTGTATCATATTTTGGCTACACAAAACAGAAACATGATAAAAACACATAAAACCATGATTTCGAAGTATTTGTGTAAGTCGGGATTCGAACCCAAAAAGTCATTTGATGCATAGTAACATGGTGCACATGCACAGTCTACTAGGCCATATGAAATGTGATTTGCCAGACCTTGGCAGCCAAATGGAGATTCGCCAGGTCTCGAAACGCTTCTAAGGGGATCAATGCTTCTAAGGGGTTTGAATCGCTTTAGTCACGTGACCAAGTGTTTCGAAACACTTTAGTCACGTGACTTGGGTGCTTCGAATCATGCTTCTGTGCAGCGTTCCGAAACACTGGCGCTTCGGGATCTCGACACTGTGTCGAAACGTCAGTTTCACGTCAGCCATTCCTAGTGTGAAAACGACCCAAAGACGGCAGAAGATGCAACAACGTATCATTTATTACCCTTGGTCCGGACCAAATGAAGCGAACTACAGATGTGAGAGCACCCTGAGAAACATCCACACTCACACTCATACACTACAGACAACTTAGCCTACCCAATTCACCTGTACCGCATGTCTTTGGACTGTGGGAGGAACCGGAGCACCCGGAGGAAACCCATGCGAACGCAGGGAGAACATGCAAACTCCAAACAGAAACGCCAACTGACCCAGCCGAGGCTTGCTTAAGAGGGCTAATAATAAAGACCTTAAAATAGTTTAAAAAAAATAAAAACTCTAATTCTTAAAACTCGAAGTACTCTAATACTCTAAAAACTTATTCTTACCAAAATAAATAATAATAATAAAAAAAAATTATAGGAAATACTGAGCAAAAATTCCTTGCTCTGTCAATCATTGTTTGGGAAATATTTAAAAAATAAAAAATTTAAATCACAGGAGGGCTAATAATTGTTATGCCAACTGTATGTCTTATTTCCTTGTACGTGTGCAGCCAGCACATTGTGTGTGTGTTTAGTATTGTTTGTGTGTGTGCTGTGCACTTAGGCGGATGTAAAAGGTGTGTGTAAAAAGCTGGGCTGGTCAGAAAGGCAGGTGGAGCGTTGGTTCCGCCAGAGGAGGAATCAAGACAGACCCGGAGTACAGAAGAAATTCAAAGAAGCCAGGTATATTTGCACACACTCTCTTAAACAAACTCATGATGACTGATGTGTGTGTTTGTCGTTATTATTAAGTCATATTTCCTTTCTGTAGCTGGCGGTTTGCCTTTTATCTGTGCTCGACTTTTGGAGGAGTACTGGCTCTATATGATGTAAGTATATTTTGTTCTTGTAGTTCGAAACCCAGCCCTCACTGAGAAAGGTCCTGAAATTGTCCTATACACAAGCTCATTTGTCCTCATTTTGACCGCTATGCCATAATAAACTGTTAACAAATACCTATGAAAATAACCCATCAAAGAAGGCTTTAAAACCAAGTGGAACCATGGCTAATTCTCAATATGCGTTCTTATCTTATATATATATATATATATATATATATATATATATATATATATATATTTTTTTTTTTTTTTTTTTTTTTTTTTTTTACTTCAAAAATTGTTTTTACTATTTGTCAACTACACGTGTAAAGACCTCAGACTGTATCTGAACATCTAAATGACCTCCAAACAACTGTGTGCGAGTGTGTGTGTGTTACAACACATGCAGGGATTCTCAGAAGAGGCCTTGATTCAGTGTGTGTGTAATGCCTTAGGGCTAATTAGTAACATTTTCCCACCTGTGAACAGCTCCAGTCTGATAGAAAGATCCAGAAACAGGCACAATAACAGGCATGAACAGGCCCTGCACACACCCAAACACAGATATTAACATTATTTTGTTGTTGTTAGGACAAACAGTGCTATTATCGTACTAACTGTCCTTATTGAACTTAAGCATGTAACCCCATATAGTTTCATCCTTAATTTGCTCTGAGAATTGTGGGTAGGCTCTTATTGATTGAGTTGTGAAGAAACTAAAATATATCAAGTTAATAAAAAAAAGATTAACAAAGATGGGTGAAATTGTAAGCCTATATGCCATAAACAATTATATGTTATTAATTTAAATATTCATTCATTCATTCATTTTCTTGTCGGCTTAGTCCCTTTATTAATCTGGGGTCGCCACAGTGGAATGAACCGCCAACTTATCCAACAAGTTTTTACTCAGCGGAAGCCCTTCCAGCCGCAACCCATCTCTGGGAAACATCCACACACACATTCACACACACACTCATACACTACGGACAATTTAGCCTACCCAATTCACCTGTATCGCATGCTGTCTTTGGACTGTGGGGGAAACCGGAGCACCCGGAAGAAACCAACATGCTACTAGTTTGCGAGTGTATTTCATTACTACTAGATTAAGTTGGCTCTTTTGAGTTAACAAAATTAGTTTTAAGTGTAAACACAAGTAAAATGAGTACACAGCTGCCTTAAAAGAGTACATAAGTTTTCTGTGTTTGTACTGTCAAATATACAAGTGAATTTTAGATATACTGATAGTTTACTACACTTTTTTTAGTTAGACGTTTGCTCCAAGTTTTGTAAGTAGTTAAATTTCATGTATATTTGTATGTTTTATTTTAAGTGACCAAATTATGATTTAATATATTATTTTGAAACCCCAAAGTTGATTTGCAACCACATAAACAGGAACATAACGTTACCAACCGAACTCATAAAACAACTACAAACCAAGTATGTTCAGAAATAGTCCATTATTACTAAAATATTGAGTATTGTGTACAATATACTGTAAACTATTGAGTAATATAAGTTAAATAGTTTTCTGTCAGATTAAGTAGATAAGCACATTAAGTTACTGAAGACTGAATGCATAAAGTAAGTTAACTTAACTTGTTAGTTTCTTATTTTGTAGCTTAGCACACTTGAATAAACACTTAATTATAATGAATATTACGTCAGCTCTTTATATTTAAGTGAATTTGTTGTTCCTGAACCTTTAATGTAACAATAAAACAAATGAAAACGTTCACAGCTGTGATTAATATCGATGTTTAACGGCCATGAATGGAGTAGCATATGGCTGTTTATACAACAGCTCAAACATAAAACATAATGATAGCTTACCTTTGAAAGTGAATTTAACCAGTTAATTGAGTATTTCGCCAAAGAATATTTGTTTACAAACAAAGGAGCCGAAACAAAATCGACAGCATCGAGTGTTTTTCCATTGCTAAATGAATCATGTTTCGATCGTAAGAATGATTCAAGCGTTTACTGGCTTGTTTATGATTCAACCGACTCAGTGGTTCACTCACTCGCCGTCATCTATCGGCGTAACAATGCAACTTCATTGAAAAATCCCCTACTGGGATCGAAATTTTGTAGTCTTTGTTATATTTTTTGATAGTTTTGGGTTATAAAATACAGATGAATAAATGTGAATGTTATTGTTTTGTTCAACAGAAACCATGGTTTTATGATCTACGTGAAGTGTGGGCGAAATTTCCCAAACAAGTAAGTGTGCTTATGGAATTTAATGCAAAATGGCGGATACATTTGAAGCATTTACTTTACCTGCAATAGTACACAACAAATGTGCGATTTACCGTGAACCATTTTTAATGTAAAATACATAAAATAATCCAAAATGCTTAAATGTGGTAGGGAACATTTGATTGTAACTAATTGTTGCTCAATGTTGAACTTTTTAAACCATTAACCAAGCTGGCAATAACTGAGTTCACCATTTTTTTATGTTATTATAAAAAATTATATATTATTATCATTATTTTTTTTTCTTGCTTTAAGTTACCTCAATATGCAAACCCCAAACCAGATACCACAAGTTAAATTAAACTGGAATAAAGCGAGGCAGTGGTGCAGTAGGTAGTGCTGTCGCCTCTCAGCAAGAAGGTCGCTGGTTCGAACCTCGGCTCAGTTGGCGTTTCTGTGTGGAGTTTGCGTGGGTTTCCTCCGGGTGCTCTGGTTTCCCCCACAGTCTAAAGACATGCGGTACTAAATTGTGTGTGTGGATGTTTCCTAAAGAGGGGTTGCGGCTGGAAGGGCATCCGCTGTGTAAAAACTTGCTGGATAAGTTGGCGGTTCATTCCACGGTGGCAACCCCGGGTTAATAAAGGGACTAAGCCGACAAGAAAATGAATGAAGGAGTTCTGGAATAACCCGTACATAAAGCTACAGTTTCAAAAGTCAAATAACAGTAAATTGATAAATTTAAAATACATACATACACACACACTCTCTCTTTCTCTACTTAGGAGAGTGAAAACCCGTTCTGAATATTTGCATGAGGTTTTTTTTTGAAAGGTTGTGTTTGTGCAAGCGTGTTTGTCTGGCGTTTGGTGTTTAAATGTGTTTGTTTTGTGTGTGTGTGTGTGTGTGTGTGTGTGTACAGTCATTGCTGGACTCTCAATACTGGTATTACATCACTGAGATGAGTTTTTATGGTTCTTTACTGTTCAGTGTGGCTGCAGACGTAAAACGGAAGGTAAGAAGACATCTATATATCAGTATTTCCATTGCCTCAACACATCATTTCATTATCGTTATCACTTAAATGATTATGCGTGAAGATATCAGTAGTCAAGTAGTAGGTCAAAGATCCTCAACTCTCTTTATCAACAAGCCTACAGGTAGCAGTTCTAATGTCATCAAACACCAAGAAAGTTGTTTTGCTTACATCTATCATAGTAATTATCACAATAGTTAACTAGAAGTATGAACTATTAATAACTGAGAATATGATGTCACAGTATCTTAAAAGATTAGTCTATCTAAGCTAGGCAAGTTTATATATATAGCACATTTCATACACAGTGGTAATTCAAAGTGCTTTACATAAACAAGAATAACAGAAACAAGAAAATAACAATGATAAAAACAGAATAAAATGTGTTAAAACAAGTTTTATAGGAATAAAAAAGAAAAGAAAGACATAAAAGTGCAATCTAGATACAGTCAGCTCTACTTCTCTCTCTCTGTGTGTGTGATTGTGTTTAGGATTTTAAGGAGCAGCTGGTGCATCACTGGGCCACTTTAACACTCCTGTCTTTCTCATGGTGTGCCAACTACATCCGTATTGGCACCCTGGTAATGCTGGTGCACGACACGTCTGACGTCCTGCTCGAGGTGAGAGAGAAATAGTGAAAAAAGATTAGATGTCTTTAAATTCTTTGTTCATTTACTTACTGCCAATATTAAATTACTTTATTTATTATTATTCACAATAAACTTTTTTTTACATTTATCGACATTTTAATTCTTCATTTGTAACAGAGCAAGGATTTAATTCCACAGTATTTTCTATTAAACATTTTTTTTTCCTGCGGAAATAATTTATTTTAGTTTGGCTGTGTGTGCGTGTATGTGTGTGTGCGTGTGTGTGTGTGTGTGTGTATGTATATATATATATATATATATATATATATATATATATATATATATATATATATATATATATATATACACACACACATATACATACATACATATATATATATATATATATATATATATATATATATATATATATATTAGGGTTGTCACGATACCATTAATTAATCTTACAATACTATATCAGCTGAAGTATTATAATACCAATTAGTAATGCGATACTGTAATTCATAAGTCAAATTATAAAGAAAATTGGCATAAAAATACTATATTTTCTGTTATAATAGACCTACTTAAATTTAACTTATAATTCCCTTAAGGCTAAATAGTATTTTGTAGATAACTGACCAACAAAAAATACTTTAAAATAAAGATACAAACTATACTGAATAAAATTTGTTACAAAATAGCATTTTCTTAACAAAATCAGGCTATATAAAGTGGTCAAAAATTATTTCAATGTTTTCTGTTGCTATTTTGGGTTTTTCATCTATTCTTTTTTTCAGTCTTATCAGGTAACAATGCAAAGTAGTTCAAAATTTCACTCAGTCATTCTTTTAAAGAGATTATTGCGGTCGCTAATAAATCATATTAACAGGGACAGAAATGAACCGATTCAGATGTGCATTCGAACTGAAGCGTTAGAAAAGATGCAAATGGCTACCATAAAAGTCACGAATTCTACAGTTTTTCTACACAGCTCCACAGACTATTCAAATATTGTTGCACAAATGTGTGAGCAATTTAGTGACTTTAATAACGGTACTACTGTTTACAAACTACAGTGGCACCGCCAGTATTATTGGAGCCATAGTATTGCGATATTACCATAGTACCGGTAAACCGTGCAACCCTAAAATATATTTATTTATTATTTTTTGTTAACAGCTAATGTCAATATTATTAGCTCCCTTAAGAAATTATGTATTTGTAAGTTAATCTAATTAAGCTAATTACTGTCATCATGGCTAAACCAAAATAATTTAGTTATAAGAAATTAATCATTAAAAATTTTATGTTGATAATGCCGCAGTGGGTAGGGCTGTCACCACAAAGCAAGAAGGTTGCTGGTTCAAGTCTCTGCTAGGTCAGTTGGCATTTCTGTGTGGAGTTTGCATGTTCTCCCCGTGTTGGTGTGGGTTTCCTCCGGGTGCTCCAGTTTCCCCCACAGTCCAAAGACATGCATTATAGGTGAATTGGGTACGCTAAATTGTCCGTATTGTATGTGTGTATGTCCTGGTCCTCCAGATTGGGGGTTGAGGGTTCGGCTAACAACTCGCCTCATAAAAACTAGATGTTACAAAACCCCAATGTAAGGAGGCAGCTAAAAATCAACTTCAATAATAATGGCTCTGGGAGTAAGTAAGTAAGCTTGTGTGTGTCAGAAGTTCATATTAATTTAAATTTGGCTATTACCGTCAGCGCAATAGCCAAGTGGTTAGCACGCTGACATATGGTGCAGTAGCACTTCTCGAGGACATTTCCCGACCCTACCCCCTCTCTCTCTCCCATTTCATTTCCTGTCTAAAATACTGTCCTATCCTGTCAATAAAGGCAAAAAGGCCAAAAATAAACCTTTAAAAAAATAATACATAATTGACTATCATCTGATGTTTTAAAGCGTGACATTTCAATATGGTCAATAAAAGCAGTCACTAAAATAAGCACTATTTACTCAAATGTGCTTTTTATTTAAATTCATAATAGTATTTCACAATATTGTGAATACAGTATTTTGAATAATAATATTAGTTATTTGATTCTTGTTAGATTAGTATTAAAGTTTGTCTTTAATCTGTTTCCTCCTAGTCTGCTAAAATGTTCAATTACGCCGGATGGGAGACGACCTGTAACAGTGTCTTTGTGGTGTTCGCGCTGGTCTTCATGGTAACCAGACTAATTATCTTCCCTTTCTGGTGAGTGTGTGACAGAGGTTAATGCGCGGGAGACCTCAGGGTTAAGTGTGTTCATTGGCGTGTCTCTGTGGTGTGTGCAGGCTGATTCACTGTACGTGGGTTTATCCTCTGGACCAGTTTGAACCCTTTTTCGGCTATTATTTCTTTAACGCCATGCTTATGGTGCTGCTGTTTTTGCACGTGTTCTGGGCCTCCCTCATCCTCCGCATGGTCAAAAAGTTTCTCTTTGGGAATGTAAGTATGATGTACTTCACATGTACGATCACACTGGTGTCATCAGCCTTGGCTGGTCCCTAAAGCATACAATCACACTGATGTGATTATAACGTTTAGAACACATCAACAACTGCATAAATTCAAATGTGACAGCACAGAAAGAGGTGTGCATCGTCATAAATCACAATTTATCTACGGTTGCAAACAAATAGCATTTATTTTAGGTTTCAGACATTCAAATACACATACCTACAATCAAAACATACATTTAATGTTTGTAAAACACACGCAGATTCACGTAAAATGCACACGGTTTATATTACTAGAATGTTTTCTTTTCTCTATTCCTCTCCCAGCTAAACAGTTGCTTACCTTCATATATTTCGGAAGAAAATTCTGAATAAACATGACATAATCGTAATATATGTTCTATCACATATTTGAGAGTCGGAGTATCATAATTTCACAATTATAATTACAACATTTGTCAATATTTACAGAAAAGTGCAAAAAAAAAAAAAAAAACGACATTTACATAAATTATTGGGGCTGGTGGGTCACGTGATAAACTTGACGAGTTGCCATGGGCTCTTTAGAACGCAATGGATTCTAAATAATGGGCTGCGTCCGAAATAACCTACTACTTAGTATGTACTGCATTTGAGTGTAATGTACTACTCTGCCGTAAAGTACATGCAATACAGTATGAATGTCGGTAGTATTGATGAAATTCAGACGTACTAAATCTGGCATTTTGACATTATCATGTGACCTACACGTGTCGCTTCACTCCCATTCATTCTCCTGTGGTGCATCATGGGACAGCATAGCAGTTTTTTGAATTCTTTGAATTCAGACATACTGATTTTAGCGTACTACATAGTATAGGGTTGGACCAATAAACGATGCCATCGTCCATCGCCGATGACCAATATACAACAAGATGCTGAGCTGGCATCACCGATCCTCTGGCCCGCTCCTGTCGCAATCCCGCTCACAAAAAAATATACACTAAGGCCCCGTTTACACTAATACGTCTCATTGTTAAAATGGCATTTTAGAACGAAAATGATCCACATCCACACCATGTTTTACCAAGCATTTCTGAACAGCCCTCCGTCCGCTGAAAACGGACATCACATTGACCACACACACACACAGCTACACATTGTCATGCGCTCCTCTGAGCTTCAAAGAGCAGTGCACGTTGGACAGTTTATCAAGGCTGGATCGCGTCTCGCTATAGTTGTTGAAGTTCCAGGAGTCTCTATGCATTTGCAGGACTCATAATGCCCGCAAACGAGTGATAATCTCCCGGAAATCTCCCCGGATCCCTCCTCGCTCTTCAGACACGTCAGACCCCCCCTTCCCCCGCTTTTTATATGATGATGTTGCCATACGATGCCAAATTGGTCGACATTGCCCAACTCTAATATAGTATAAAAGTATGCAATTTCAGATGCAGCTATGGTCACAAAAAACACACAGGACGGTCAGCTGGAGTATAAATTAAATAGGGGTTAAAAAAGTAGTTTGAACAAACAGCATATATATATATATATATATATATATATATATATATATATATATATATATATATATATATATATTTTTTTTTTTTTTTTTTTTTTTTTTTTTTTTTACTAAGTTTTGAGGTTTTGTGCTTCTTTAATTTAATATTATTCTAATATATAAAAATACACTTGAGTGTTTCTTTTTTTTTTAGTTTGTGTCAGTAGATTTTAATTCCACTAAATAGGCTATTTTTTCTTTGAAGAGTTTTTTTCTCCTGCACTGAGCCATAAATAAAGCAATTTTATTCATATCTGTATTTTGAAGGTTTTTACAGACAGATGTTAGACTATAGGATGATTTACATTTTGTTTTACATTTTTCTTTTGGTGTGTAATATGTTGCAATATTTTCTGAATTATGATGTAATAAAGATTCCCAAAATCCTCTCTGTAAAAACATCTGACTATCAATTCTATGTAAGGTAAATTAACAAATCTACTATATGAACACAAATTGGTGCATACAAAAACCTGGGAATGAGAAATATGGAGATTTTTATGTATTTATTTTTTTTGCAATTCAGCATTTCAGTAGTTTTACTGTTTCGTTCTTTTATTAAACATCAACAATCAATCACAGAATAATTATTTTCTGGCAGTAGCAGCAATAATAATTACTATAAAACATTTGTTTTAGTTCCTCCTAGATGTTATTATTATATTTAATCTTTCCTTCCACAATGGTAAACCCACACATTTATGCAGAATGTTCGGTTTAATGAAATGATTAATTTGTCTTTCTGTTTAGCTGAAGGGTGATGAGCGCAGTGATGAAGAGGAGGATGAGGGATCTGAGGAAGAATACACACATGCATACACTAATGGATCTGGGAATGGATTGTCTAATGGCCATTGACACAAATGCAGATCTTCCACAAATAGCCCTTTTGATGCCATGCATGCATATATGTCCATATTGGACACGTGATTCATCTGTGAACTTTTGTATAGCTTTTTATATTAAAGTTTGTACATGTACAGATATTATGGAAGAAAATCTATACAAATTATCACAAGAGTTAAAAGACATTTAAAAATTAGATAGTAGATCGACAGACGACAAAAAGACAGATAGATGGATGGATACAGTTGATCGAAAGTCACCTGAAAAAATGGACGGGTGGATGGATGGAAGGATGGATGGATGGATGGATACAGTAGATCGACAGACAGCGAAAAGATGGATGGATGGATTGATGGATATAGTAGAATGACAGACACTGAAAAGATAGATGTATGGATGGATAGTTGATTGACAAACACTGAAAAGATGGATGGATGGATGGATAAATGGCTGGATGGATGGATACAGTAGATTGACAGACATTGAAAAGAAAGATGGATGGCTAGATGGATACAGTAGATCAATAGACACAAAAAATAAAGATGGATGGTTGGATGGATGGATGGATGGATGGATACACTAGATCGACTGACACCGAAAATATGGTTGAATGGATACTGTAGATCAATAGACACAAAAAAAGTAAGATGGGTGGTTGGATGGATGGATACAGTAGATCGACAGACACTGAAAAGAAGGATAGATGGATGGATAAACTAGATCAACAGACACCGAAAAGATGGATGGATGGATGGAGAGATGGAAGGATGCAGTAGATCAACAGACAACAAAAAGA